ATTAATTTTATTAATTTCAAATTAAATTTAAGTTCAAACGTAATTTTTTCATTATGTTTTAAAAATTTGTAAAAAGAAATGTGTAATAAGAAAATTACGGAGGAAGTGATTTTTGGCCCACGTTGTATTTTAGAAAATTGTCAAAAAAAAAAGAAATGCCAACAACAACGATTAGTTCAAACTAATCTAAGAAAGACGAATTGCAAAATTGCTCAGTGTTAGAAAAATCGTAGCAATATTTTAGGCGATGTCGGATCACTGATGTTACGTTCGCGAGCTCGTGCATGAAATACGCGACTATTAACGTTGGACAGCGCGATACGTCAGAGGAAGAAAGCGTTAAATGCTCGTTCATTGTGTTGAAGGTTACGCGAAAGAAGATAATGCTCTGAATGAAATGTGTTATTAGTTACACCTACGCGGTAATTATGATAATAGCCTTCACCTTGAGGCGTTGTCATGAGTATCTGGCTGACATCACACGACGTACTCGTTATTCAAGAACCGTGCAACGTTGGACAGAATTATGTACATGAGGTACAATTACTGGAGTAACACGACGTACTCTCGTTTTCATGGCCACTATGATATTTTTCCTACGTGATGCAACGTACGACTGTACAAAGACATTTTTGTGTGATTCCAGAACTTCTTTGTCTTCTTTGAACTTGAACTATCCTACTTGCGAATCTTTTACGATAGTAAAAGATAATGTAATAATTCGTAATAAAAAAAAAAAAAGATCATTGAAGATCCACTTGGTCTTATTTCAAAGCGCGAAGTTTCCACTTTGATAGTCGTTTTTCACGACTAAATCCATTGTGGAAAATTGAAATTTTTCGTGTTACAACGAACTCGTAAGATTCTTTTTCTTTTAATCTTTTTATTGAACTTGTAACATTAGAGACAGATGACAAAAAAAAAAGAAAATCATAAAACAAATTTGAAGGGATTGTAAAGTGGAAACCTCAGTCTTTAAAATGATGGTGGATCTAATTACAAGGAAAATTTTTTAATGTTTCTACACGAACTAACGACTGTTAAAGTAGAGGCTACATGCTTTAAAGCAGAGCCGACTGGAGCCCTTGTCCTTACTATTCTGATCGCTTGCACTATCCCCTCTACTGCATCGATCTCTCCACTTGGAGGGGGTAAAGGCCGCCAGTTAGCCGGCTCTGCTTTAAAATATTTGACTTGTTTCAATTATCGACAATTTTTCATCATCATCGTCATTGGCACAGTTACGCTCCTCGTAAAATAATATAAAACAATATACTAACATTTACGAAGGATATATGATGTGACAAACATGGCGAGAACATTTCCAAACATTTTTAACTCGCTGTAAGGAACAATTTCTGCGTAAAGAGTACGTAAAATACTCGTTGTCAGTAGAAGAGGAACAAAAGGCAGAAGAAGAAGAAGAAGATGATGAAAAAAAAAGAGGAAAATGTAGATGGAACGTTAGAACGGAAGCAATTCGACTTACGTTGGCGACGTACGTGACGCAACCGGTGACTAGAGCTTTTGGCTGGTGCCTCCACTGCGTCTTGAGGGTGGACGGTACGCCGAGGAGCAGCTCCGACGGTGCCCTGATCTCGAGTTGTTCCGGTGCCGAGATCGCCCCATTATGCGAACTAGGTCGCTGGGGTGGCTGCGGAGCCGGCCTGTTTTTGCGGTGCCTTAATGTGCTCGTGCCGGTCGAATTCGTTCCGGTTATCGACGTGCCGCCATTACCCTCCGCCGTTGTTTCCGGCAGCTTCTCCCGTATCTCGTCCTTTAGCTGCTGTATGTTCGTCTTCTGCGCAAACCAGACACCGTCGAGTTTTTCAGCGACCTTGAGTCCCATCGAGTCTTTTCGCCTCGTTTCTTCCAGTTTTTTTTGATTTTTTTAAATAAATCTTTAAGCGTAACTAAGTGTTGACCTGATAATATTGGCTGACACTGATAGAGTTGCGAACACTTATTCACAGGGCGAATTGGCTCTCCCCCCTTCGATTTACCAAGAAACATAAATACATTAGGAATGCCCAGAAGTAATGTCGTTTTCTTCAAATTTAATAAACATTGCCATCCAGTGACAATAATTTAACTTAAATATTCTAGTTAAATATATTGACTGTTTATAGTGTCTAGTTTATTGTTAAACTTTGAAAAAATTTGAGTCAACCTTATGGGAATGGAAGAGCAAAGGATAAATCACGTATTAAACATTTGATGCTTCATGAGTTTCGAAAGCATAACAATGCCATTAATGCCATTTTATACCGGCGTTGACGGTATAAAATCTGGAAGACCTGTTTGTTCTCACTTCAAAATTCACCCTCATTTTACAAAAAGGGAATAGAAAGTTTGTCCGAGAGATGGACGAGGATTGTCAATAAGGGTCTAATCCATAATGATGGA